TCCCTGATGATTGCTGATCCCGCCAAGACCTTCTTTGTCACTACAGGTGCTAGTCAGTATGGGATTGACGCTGTGTTGCAACAACAAGATGAAAATAGCAAGTGCAGACCTGTAGAGTATCTCAGTAGGAGAATGCATTCTGACAAGGTTGCGAATTCTACCTACGAGAGAAAGTTGTATGCCTTTTATACTGACCTGGAAGAATGGAGACACTACTTGCTTGGTAGACACTTCAAAATATACACACATCATGAGACCCTGAAATGGATAAAGACTCAGACTAACTTGAGAAGTGATAAGTTAAAACGATGGGCTCAGATAACAGACACGTATAACTTTGAAATCAAGACCGTAAAAGAGAAGTATAATGTGGTTGCTGATGCAGTATACAGGAGAGGAGATTTCTTTGGAGCTATTGTGACTAGTCTAGACATAGTAAAGAGTTATGAGATAAATTTTTCAGTAAATTATATGAACGATCTTACCTTGTCTAAGATTGTGCGAATGTATAAGTCTAATCCTGGTCTAGTCCCTAGGTATAAGACGACTGATAGACTGTTATTCTTCTCATCCAAAGGTCATGAGCGCCTGTGTGTACCTTCTTCTGAGTCTTTGACTACTGTACCGTTAGGAGAATGTCATGATACAGAAGGACATTTTGGACGGAAGAAGACATTTGCTAGTCTGTTTTTGAATTTTATCTGGACGGGTATGAAACAGGACTGCATAGCATATGTGAGGAGTTGTCCTGTCTGTCAGAGGAACAAAACAAGGACACAACAACCCTTGGGTTTGCTGAAGCGTCTTCCCATTCCCTCTGGCCCAGGAGAGTCTATTAGCATTGACTTCATAAGACACTGGAGTCAAAAGTAGAAATGGGAATACACAGGTCCTAACTATTATTGACAGGTTCAGTACACACCTGGTTAACCAGGGGTGTTATTTTTGACGAATTTTGCACCGAATTGCACTGAAACTGTCATATTGTGCTGACCCCGTTAACCGTCTCTCCACACGTGGTTAACCAGGGGTGTTATTTTCGACGAATTTTGCACCGAATTGCACTGAAACTGTCATATTGTGCTGATTTTTTGCTTTTTTTCTTGTTTTTGTTTTTGTGTGACATATATGTGCTTTAGGGTACGTCATGTGTGCAGTTTTGACATGTTTGGATCAATAATGAAAAAGTTGGCATTTTGTTGAATTCGTTGGACGCTCCATTTTGACTCGGACAGTGTCTTTGTGTTAGGGTTTCATAGTGTTTTTTTGTTTTTTTTTTCGTTTTTTTTGGCCTGTTTCCTTTTTTGATGTTTGCACGATGGTCTCATATCGTTTGTTTTTATCATTTTTGATGAAATTCGCACCGCAATTGCCAACGAAAACGGCGAATATTTGGGCCCCCGTTAACCGTCTCTTTTGCCTGTAGAAACTATTAGTCAGAGTCAATAGTAAGTTTTTCATGCATTGGGTGTAAGAGTATGGTCACCCCTTTAATATAGTTACTGATAGAGATGTCAGGTTCACCGGAGAGCACTGGCAAGCACTGCAGAAACTGTATGTTACTCATCTGACCTTCTTCAGGAAGACACCCTGAGACTAATGGGCAAACTAACCAGTTTTATAAACCACCAGTACACCGGCACCTAAAATCCCGAAGCTACCCATCCACTGCGCGCCGCTATTTTCCGAGCCTTCTGCGTGTGGGTACCTGCAGTGGGAATTTTGGAAGTGGCACCCGTGCCGGCTGTCTACCTGAAGGGAAAAAAAAAAGAAAGGAAAAAAAAAACATGCCAGAGATCAATGATGTCGTGGAAGGACCTCACGGAGGCCATACTTAAACGAACACTTTCCAGAATGCATCTGACCACAATTACGGGGAGAGGAAAACATTGCTGTGTTTTCTTTTTTTCTCCTTTTGTTTTTTTCTTCCTTTCCCTGCCAGCAAGGCAGCACCTATTCCTCTTGCTCAAAACGCCCTCGCTGAGGGCATACCCACACTAGCGCCATTGAAATGCATCCAACCACTTTCACGGCCAAAGCTTTGTTGGCTTTTTCTTTTTTTTGTTCTTTTTTTGTGAGTCTGACAGTCGTGCTCCCCGCGTTCCCCGTGTTCCCCGTTCTGCCGAAGTGCCCTCACTGAGGGCAGTAGTCCAAAAAGTGTATCCAACTGCAATCACGGCCAAAGCTTGTTTTGTTTTTTGGGGCTTTTTGTTTTTTGTTCTTCTTTTGTGAGTCTGACAGCTGTGCTCCCCGTGTTCCTCGTTCTGCCGAAGTGCCCTCACTGAGGGCAGTACTCCAACAAGTGTATCCAACTGCAATCATGGCCAAAGCTTGTTTTGTTTTATGGGACGTACGGATTTGACATGGGCCCAAAATTTTGAAAACCTTCTGACGCTCCGACCCTGCCCCGAGCCAGCCTTTTACTTCTTGTGGCGACAAGTTATTTTGCTGCAAGGCTGAGGCCGTGTACTGGTTGTATAAGGTCTTGCAGCAGACCCCCCAGATGTATATTACACCAGACCACATTGACTGGGGTGAGCAGCTCCCCAAGGTAAGTTGTGCTTACAACAATTCAGTCCACACTGCTACAGGCATTGGCAGGCGGGATATGTTTTTTTTTTTTTTTTTTAAAAAAGAAAAAAAGGTAAGCCACCTAATGAGTTGCATAAGGGTTGCACCGACGGGTGTTTCAAAAAAAAAAAAAAAAAAAAAAAAAAAAAAAAAAAAAGAGTTGCATAAGGGTTGGCAACCCAGAAGGCCTATAGACCTCCAAAATCCTGATCAAATTCAGAGGCTGCCATCTGGGGCCAGAGAATTCACCAGCAGTGTATGAGGCCGACCTGCGCAGGGTCATCGAGAAGATAGCTCATGGACAACAGAAAATGGTTGAGTCTGCAAATCACTATCACAGACCTGCGCAGTACCAGGAGGAGATTTTGTGTGGGTCAGTTCGAAGGAGTTCACCCCTGAAGAAGGAATATCACAAAAACTCTTACCTGCATATTTAGGACCTTGGGAGATACTCAGAGTTTGCGGTGGTGCCGATGGTGTATCGTATGAGGTTGATGTACCGCCCCATATGAAGATTTACCCTGTCTTCCATGCTTCTAAGTTGTTGCCCTCTACACAGTCTGATGACTTCCCTTCTCGAAGATCAATGATACCGCCAGACGTGCTGTTGGAGTTTGAACCCGGGACCTGGTGTTGACTTACCTGTGCCATTACCTGTTACTATACCCTGCTGTACGCATTGACTGTGCTTGTGGAGCCTTGGATCTGAGACCTGCTCTTATGTGCACGTAAAGTCGATGCTTAGTACCATGTGTGGTAATTGTGAGTCCAGCAAGCTATCTCGATGGTTCCAAGGGCGAACGGGGGAAACTTCCCAGGAAACAAAACTACAGAATTCGTTTTTGCAGCCTCATTCATTTTGTGCGGTGCTGGCTCGTGAAATCAAGCAGTGCGCTGTGTGGTGAAGAAGACAGCCATAACTGAAGTAGTAGGGCAATCGTGTTGCCATCTAGTAGCTGTTGCTTCTGTTTCTTTTTGGATTGGAATCACGCTGTTGTGTCAAGTGCTCGTAGGAGAGAGCTTTTGCTTGGTGGGGAGTGAGCCATCGAGTAGGAGCATCAATTCGATGTTCAGGGATAGATCCTTGGTGAGAGGAAGAGGGGAGGAGACATGCTTGTGTAGTAGAGTCTGCAAGAGCTGAAGATTGTATTGAACTCTGATCTGCACCCTTGTAGCAGTGAGTGACAGAGCTGCTTTGTGGGAAGTTTCATTGAGGTCTTGCCTTGAGCTTGCGTGGACAACTTGCCTTGCCTGGTTACCTTGAATCTGCAAATGAACTACGCTGTGGGACCGACCCGCCATAGCTTCCTCATCTACGATTTTGTGAGTGTGGTATTTGGTGATTGTAACACTCATTGAATTGAACCGTGTGGTAATTTTTAGGAAGAAGGTAAACTTGACTTCATGTGTTGGTGTGATTGTCATACCTACACGCTCATATGGAATGGATGATGCATGAGTGAGGGTCTCCTTGCAACTCTGTCTCCCCATTCAAAAGCCTTCCTGGTGGACTTCAATATGTACAGTAAGTTGAGCCGCGCACTGTGACCATATATGTACTGACCACTGCTACTACTGTTACACTATGACCATTGAAGTTTCCCTGTTGAGTTTATTTGCAATTCCATCTCCCCTAGTCCCTGTGCAAGGATGACACACATAAATCGAGAAATAGTCCAAAAAAGACAAAAAGGAAAAAAAAACAGCCTTCCTGATGGACTTTAATAATACCATACACATATGCCGTCCTTTGGACTTTCCCACCAGAAGCGGGAGGAGCTTGTGTGAGTACTTATTGTAATCCTTTCTGACTTGACGGGGGAATAGGAACCGGACTGACGTGCCCCAGAATGGAAAAGGAGCCAGAACCATAAGGTTCTGTTTCTTTGAAAAAAAAAGAAAAGAAAAAAACGTTCAGTGCTGGGTTCTAATCCTGTTGCCGTCACTTTCAGTGGCCCGAGGAGGATGGCCAGGGCCAGTCAACACTGGTAGCTCGCTGGGGTGAGTGGTGCCCCCCTGTAACCTGTGGCAACGGGGGAGCGTCAGGCGTGGGTGTATCCTGTAACCTGTGGCAACGGGGGAGCGTCAGGCGTGGGTGTATCCAGGGTAAGGATCAAGGGAGGAGAGAGAGGGACAGATGAGAGAGGGGGAGAGACAGAGAGGGGGAAGCCATAGCCGCTACTTGGCTGAGACTCGCTGTGTGTATGTGTGTGCGGCAGAGCCTTTCGTTACAAACATTCTTGTATATTGGCAAGATTATTGGTGACGACATCTTCAACTGCGGATTGTATCTCATTTTGGCTTCTCATGTGTGAACTCTCATATGGATGTTTGCTGGTGTATGCAAGTTGAACTGTGCGAGTTCTTGGATCATTTCAAAAAAGCCCCCTCATTGACTAAACATCAGGGGGAGAATACCCAAAATAATAATGCAGTTTCGAGCTTTACTTCTCACGAAGATTATTACATCATTAAGGCAATGTTCAAACACTAGCATTGCACAGTCCTTCCACTCCAATGCTAAGACTGTAATCAGGTGGTCCCTTTTTTTGTTTGTTGTTGAACAATTCCCCCTGCATTAACAGATAGGAGTGATGGAAAGAGCATGCACTCCTATCTGTCCTGCAGGGGGCTCCAGTCTATTGGTGGAGAGCTACAGCTGCTCCCTGACATTCAATTTGATAGCATTCTGTTTATCATCCGAGTGCACGGAGTCGCTCTACGTCCTCTCGGGCCCGGGCGCAAGTTCCAGTCCCATGACGTCACCAATTTTGCCATATTCTGTACACGTTTTCAAAAACTCAATGAAAGAGGGTGTGATACGAAATATCATCGGGACCCAGGTGTATATTCAGTGAGATCCGTAGCGGCGATCCGACAGATGTATAACTTTCTTGCCCGCTTGCTGCTTCAACCGCCGATATTCTCGAAGTCTATTGGCGCCAATCATACTGCAGAGTCTCAGCGGTAAGCTTTGTATCTCAGTTCGAGATCAATGTATGCCACACGTCATTGTGGCTGTGCAGCTCTGTTTGTCTTATCTTTCTCTTGCGCGCGTACGCGTGCCTTCCTCTACCTTTTTTCTACCAACCTCCAGGTATGTAGTCATTCCACACGTCCCCGCTTGTCCCCATAACTCCTTTTCCGTACACTCTGCCCTCTGCCATCGACATATCTGTTCCGTTCCCAGTTCATGTCGCAGAACAAGTGGTACATGCTTTCCCATGCACCCACCCTCCCACCCTGCGTGCAACTTTCCCTTAGAGCGCTAAGGAACATGTCGCTCGGATATCCCAGTGATTGCACCCCTTTGTGGAGTGTCATCATGCTCATTGGAAAGGGTATGCTTCTTACGAGGTGTTCGCCTTGATTCGGTAAAACGTCCCAACAATGAAAGCGACTTTTTGTTAGTTAATGACACATCACAGCTCATGGAGAAAGGACCCATCGCCCATAGGACAGTAAAGGCTCTGGGAAAGGGGACATATATGCTTTGGCAGGGCCTCTGTGTCAGGGGACAGGCCGGGCCCGGCCTCTGAAAAAGGGCTACAGGTCTGGCCTGGCCTCAGGTTAAAACACCGGTTCACACAGAGCTAAGTCAAACTACCTTCCAAGGCTCACGACCCTGCAACTGCGCCTTTTCAGAGTGGCCTGCTGCTTTTACTATCGGGCCAGGCCCGAAGTCAAGTCGTGCTCTT